TGGCTGGGGCTGGGTTTGAACCTGCCACCCTCGGTATATGGGCCAGTGCCCTACTCACTGAGCCACAGGCACCACCTGATAATCCCATTTTTTAAAGAGGCATATAAAGCTTAACATTTAAGTGGTAGTTCCAGACTACTTTATAATGTGTTTTACTTTATGTATTCTAGACCATAGTTAATGATTCCAGCATCTACTCTGTTCTTTAAGCTAGAAATTTCTCTAATGCTCCTTCACTCCTTTATTTTTAGTTGGTCACCAATTTGAAATTTTACCTTCAAAAATATCTGGCTCAAAATCTCCAATGCCACTGTCTTTTACCATCTTTCTCTTGGATTGTTAAGCAGACTCTATATAATACTTTTAACATTTGCATTGCCTATACGTTATTGTTTCCTCAGAACAAGGTAATCATGTCACTTCTTTGCTAACCTTTTTTACCTCTCACTCTCAGGTCCAAGCCTCCTTTTATGGCCTTCATCCCTGATTCCTGACTTTCCTCACGGAGTGTTCCTCTTTACACCTCATTTCTCAGTAGTGGACACCAGACCTAGTAGCTCTGTGTATTTACACTTAGGGTTACCCCCCTACACACACACCTTCTTTGCCTGATAAGCTGAGATGCAGTTCAAATGGCATCTCTTTGATGAAATCTTTTTTAGTCTCCCAATTAGTTGTTCATTGTCTATTCCCACAAAACTTTATATGTTTATAATGTGATTTATATGATCTAATCTCTCAGGAATTTCACACTTTCAACATCAACCAGAATGTGAGCTTTTCATGTTTTTCCAGCCTCTAGCAGTGCATAGCATATAGCAAGCACTCAAATGTTTGTTCAGTGAATCAAAACAAATAAAGCTTCATTAGTTTGTAGTGACTGAAACAGAAACAAGATGTGACAGTGGACAGCTTGTTATACTGTTGATATCTCCGTTTTGCTTTATAGTCAGCCTTCCTAAACTTTGTTCCCTGTATATGGCAATCCTTTACTCTTTGAGGAACCGTTTTATAAGACATATCTATTTAAAAAGTTTTTTTTATTTCCCAATAGTATATTAGGCAATTTTTCAAACATACAGTACAGTTGAAAGAATCATACAGTGGTCAGCCATTCACCCACCACATACCTTTCATTATTTTTTTCTTCTTCACATGTTGGGAATTCATAGGGAGATTACAAGTTTTGTGCCCCTCATCACAATGACTCCAGATTCCTGTTGGGTATGTTATAAACAGAGGAGCCATTTTTCAGGCCCCTTGTTCTGACCACACCCCTCATTAAAGAAGTTTTGTCTTGGTCCTCAAAGCAGATGCTGCTTTATAGAAAAAAGTGCAACAATTTAGTGGCATAGTCAGACTGTGGGATAGATAAATATATACCTCAAATAGAATTTCAGAGTTAATTATCATTAAAATTATTAAATATCTGCTTCATCACTAAAGTCTTTCACAATTATGTACATTATGAAGTATTTATTTAGCTGATGATCATGGGTAGAAGAGACTAAGTCTATGGGAGTTATTTTGTAAGTATACTAATTCTTTTCTCTAATTTCTCCCCCTCAACTCCATGATTATGTTGCAGTTTCTTTTTTTTTTTTTTTGAGAGAGAGAGTCTCACTATGTCACCCTCAGTAGAGTAGTACTGTGGCATCCCAGCTCATAGCAACCTCAGAATCCTGGGCTTAAGTAATTCTCTTGCCTCAGCCTCCCAAGTAGCTGGGACTATAGGCGCCTGCTACAACACCTGGCTATCATTTTATTGTAGTTGTCATTGTTGTTTGGCAGGTGTGGGCCAGGTTCGAACCCACCAGCCCCAGGTTGTTTGAACCTCACTAGCCACTGAGCCATATGTTGCAATTTCTGAAATGATCAAGTATGATATCATGATAAAAGGGATATCAAGTATGGTATCATGAAAAGGGCTATCATTTTGTTGTAGTTGTCATTGTTGTTTGGCAGGTGCAGGCCAGGTTCGAACCCACCAGCCCCAGGTTGTCAAACCTCACTAGCCACTGAGCCATATGTTGTAATTTCTGAAATGATCAAGTATGATATCATGAAAAAAGGGAAGGAGGGCAGCACCTGTAGCTCAGCGGGTAGGACGCCGGCCACATACACCGAGGCTGGCATGTTTGAAAAAAAAAAGAAAAAGAAAGAAAGATAAAAGGAAAGAAATCATATTTAAGAAACATTTAAGCACAGCTTCATAGAGGATATCAAATACTTGGGATAATTCAAGTTTAAATTTTCTAGGACACTTAATTTTAAAAAGCAGTTTATAAGTATAAATTGAATAATTAATAAACTTGAATTATCAATATCAACTTATTTTAAAGTTATATTTTAATATAAAATTAAGGCCTTATGATTTTTTGAAATACAGAAATTTTTTTTTTTTGAGACGGAGCCTCAACCTATCCCCCTGGGTAGAGTGCTATGGCATCACACTCACAGCAACCTCCAACTCCTGGGCTCAAGCGAGTCTCCTGTCTCAGCCTCCCAAGTAGCTGGGACCACAGGCGCCCGCCACAAC